AAGTCGATCGTCATTTTGTTCGCGATGAGCTGCGGCATGGGAACATTGTTACTCGGCATGTTCGAACCACAGAGCAGCTGGCTAACATCTTGACGAAGGCTCTTGGCAAAGAGAAATTCACCTATTTCCTTGGCAAATTGGGCATTCAGAATCTTCTTGCACCAATTTGAGGGGGAGTATTGGAATTCGTCATGGACTAGGAAATTCTAAATAAGCATGGATAAGCATGTATCTAGGCACAAATTCTGGTAGTTCCCTAGGCGTCTTTAGCTAGGTATGATTAGTAGGTAGGTTACTACTACAAGTGACTCTCCTACTCCTAAATTTCAGGTGCCGATTGTATGTGTATATATGTGGTTGTGCCGTGCATAATGAAAGCAAAGATTATTTTTTCATAAGGCGAATGAACAAGTGGCACGACTCATCCCTCTTTCTCTCAATTCTGCAACACTACACTTCTCTGTAATTATCATTAATTCGCTTGCCAGCTTCGACATATTGGGTTTCAAGGCCCACGATTCACATGGACGAGCAGACGTCAACTTGATTCTCTTATTCTAGAAATAATTGGTCGAGTTTTAGTTACAGATGCCTGGATTCGATTTGTTACCACAGCTTGGGTGAAGCACCTTCGGGCTGCAGGTTCCGATCACAGTCCCATTGTTTTGCACACCTTCCGAAAATTACATCAACGGCAATTACCTGTTCGTTTTGAAGCATATTGGACTCAGCTGGATGGTTTTCGTTGTAAGGTTTCAGATTTCTGGAATCTTTCCTTTCATCATTTCATTTTCATTGAGAAGTGTGTGTCGACAAAGTTTAATCTCAAGGGATGGGCTACTTCCACTCATGATCACTTACAAAAGCAAAGGGAGCAGTTGCTGAATCAAATTTCAGAACTTCAATCATCAATTAATTCCAACTGTTGACAACGATCTCTCCTTAGGGAGTTAGATCGTATAGTGGAGCTAGAGGACATTTACCGGCATCAAAGAGCTCGGTGCAATTGGCTTCAAGCCAGGGACAGAAATAGTAAATTCTTTCATATATGCTTCTAATAGAAAAAGAAAGAACAAATTAATGACCAGTGGACTTCTAATCTGGAAGAGCTAGATTGAAAAGCTTATCCGTAGCTACTATATACTATGATTTATTTTTGTCCACAGAGCATTGTTGTGCTGATAATGATAATGAGGTTCTTTGTGCTGTCCCCACTTTTGAAGAAGCTAGAACTGCCTTATTTTCTATCGGCAATCTTTTATCCATCAACAATGCTGGGAACAAGTCGGTGCTGAGTTGGTTGAGTTTATTCAAAACTTATTTCTCAATCCTCACTTGATCACTTGTAGTAATGGAACCAATATTAATTGTTCTTATTCCAAAAAAAAGAAGGTGCTGATCAAAGGGTGACTGATTTTCGACCAACTGGTCTTATTATAAAACAGTAACGAATTGAAAATGATCACTTCATGGCTGAAGAAACTGCTCCTTCAGTTGATCTCCCCTATGCAAACAACCTTTACTACCACCGGGTGGACTGGGCATTAAACCGGGCCTTACTCATGAAATTATGTTGGAGATTTCTCAGAGGGTAATAATTTATGGGTTCACAGATTTTATCTTCCAAATATTTGGGATCGAGATCATGGTACTCCTTCCGGATGGTCCCTAGCTCTTAGAGCTTCAAGACTTTTTGCGCAAAGGCTGTAGGTAGATGCATGGCTGGTCGGCAACGGGTGGTCCATTATATTGACTCTCTAACAGACCCTTGGCTTGGCTTCCACAAGGAACAACAATACAACACACTAGAACTTTTACCAGGAGCCCCAAGCTCATCTTGAACTACCCATTTCATTGATCCCACTTCACACCTTTGGATACCATTCCAGACTTGCTGAGTATCAGTCACTCCTCTTCTGGAGTTTTCTCATGAGACTGAAGATCTTCTACTTTGGACAGGTGCCCAACTCCAACATGGTTGTTTAACCTCAGCTGAAGCTAGCTAATTACAAATTCCTATCCTCTCAAGAATATCACTCTTCCTCATCGAATTTTGCTTGGAACCAAATTTGGGAGATCAAGCACCTTCCACCTCATGTGCATGTATTGATTCCTTTGGAGATGTTTAGTGGGTGCATTACCTGTTGCAGCATTATTGGCAAAACACCGTCAGCATATCAGTCCCGTTTGTCGCCTACAATAATTTAATAAATCTATAATTCGTGATTATAATTAATAATTATTGTTATCATAAATATTCTTAATAAATAGATATTTACTTTAATTTTACTTTAAATTAAAATTATTAATACTGTTAATAAATTTAGTAATTATTGTTATATTAAAAATCATTAAAAATGTTATTAAAAGTATTGTTATTGATTATTTAATAAAATATTATAATTACTGACTATTATTGATAAATAATGTTAAATTAAATTAATTTTGGTAATTATTAATTTAATCAATATTGTTAATAAATCCTATTCATAAATTTAATATTTACTATTATATTAAAAATAACTAAATAATATTATTAAAACTATCATTCATGATTATTTAATTAAATAGTATAATTACTTACTATTATTGATAAATGTTGTTAATAACGTTCTAACGACCGACGGTTTGACCATCCAATTCGAACGGATGGTCCATTCTGACAACAAAAATTACAAGCAAAAAATTGTGGAATCTTTCGGGCCACCGGTTTTTGGATCATTGGTTCGACCATCCGATTCGAACGGACGGTCCATTCTGACAACAAAAATTATAGGCAAAAAATTGAGTTTGTGAGGTCCATTAAGTAGTATCATACGTGTTATGTCATTCGAGCGTGTGACTCATATAACCCGAAAACAGAACCATTCTGGCCACCATTTTTGAGTCGACGGTTTGACCATTCAGTTTGAACAGATGGCCCATTCTGACAAAAAATTATGGAACCGTTCTATCCACCGATTTTCGGGTCGATAGTTTGATCTTTCGGTTCGAACGAACAACCCATTTTGACAACAAAAATTATAGGCAAAAAAATGAGTGTGAGGTTCATTAAGCAGTATCATACGTGTTATGTCATTCGAGCGTGTGACTCATATGACCCGAAAATGGAACAGGTCAATGGGTTAACGGTTCAACCACTCAGGTCAATGGGTCATTGACCGATTCAACAGTTTTTGGGCAGGGACCAGGATTGGGGTAAAATGGAACTGGTTGCATGGACGGTTCCCAATTAAAAAAATAAAAAAAAATGAACAACCTGTTCTAACAAAAAAAATTACAGGCAAAAAATTGAGTGTGTGAGGTCCATTAAGCAGTACCATATATGTTATGTCATTCGAGCGTGTGACTCATACAACCTGAAAATGGAACCGTTCTGGCCACCGGTTTTCGGTTGATGGTTCGACTGTTCGGTTCAAACAAATAACCCGTTCTGACAACAAAAATAAAAAAAATGACAAAAAACCATTGAACGGGTCAATGGTTCGACTGCCTGAGTCAATGGGTCGTTGACTGATTCAACGATTTTTGGCCAAGGACTGAGATTAGGATAAAATGGAACTGGTTGCATGAATGGTTCCCAATTAAAAAAAAAAAAAAACAAACAAAAAGGCGAAAAACCATTGAACGGGTCAACGGACCCGTTGACAGTTCGACCACTCGGGTCAATGGATCGTTGATGCGATTCAACGATTTTTTATCAGGGACCAGATCAATGGATCAACAGGTCGACGGTTCCATTCCAGCCATTACGAAGCAGGGCCCCAACGCTAGTTTATTCTTTATCTGCCTACTCTCCAGTGGGCCTGGTCTGCCTCTAATTTATCTTTGCGGGTTAATTGTAATTCTCACTGGACGTTGCAAGAATGGTTGAATTGCTGGTATCATTTAAATGTTCAAACATCTTCGGCTGAAGTCTGAACTGTCTATTTTCGCTCAAGCTGCAATCTACATGAAGAACATTTGGAAATCTCGTTACAAAACTGTTATGGAAGGTGAGACTTTTAACCCTCTTTCAATGGTTTTGGCCTCTCAATCCCAAATAAACTTGATCTCGTCCAATCTCCCTTCTGCCTTTGGGTACTGCGTCTCCTCGACTCTCTACAGTTCATTCGAGGTGTTGGAAGCTCCTCCCCCAAACTTTCTCAAGCTTAATTTTGATGGGGCTTCTAATCATTTGGTGGGTGGAGTTGGTTTCATTTTACGGGACCCTCGTTACGCACGTTCATTTTACGGGACTCTGCTGGATTCTTTTGTTACGCACGTTCTGTGAACTTACCTCTTGGTGACCCACTTCTGCTCGAAGCTCAAGCAGTCCGCTTAGCTCTCCTTTTTGCAGTAGAATTGGGAGCTAGGGAGATTCTCTTAAGAGTTTGTTGCACACTGTTCTCTGTCTCCATGGAGGATCAGACATCTTATTGAAGATTGCAAACTCCTTATGTCGAGCATCCCTCACTGTTTGGTTCGTTGGACCCCTCGTGGGGCTAACCATTCAGCGCACAAATTGGCCAACCATGCACTTTCTGTTTTTCTCTTTTTACTTGGTCTTTCCCCCTGAATTTCTTATTGATACTTTGTCTTCAAATTGTAATACCGAGCAGGTTTCTTAATGAAAGTAAGCTGTCATCACTCTGATGACAGGCTTGTTTGCCTTAAAAAATATATATATATATATATATCATTATCCAACAAGTAAAAATCAAACACCGTACAACGATGTGAGTGAACAAATATCATATCCAACAGTGCATCCAGATTTAAATGATTCTGGATGATGACATGATGTTAGTGAACTAATCTTTCAAGACATCAAAAATAACACAACGATTCAATCTGCCATTACAAGTCTCCTGCAAACCTGCAGAAACAAAATAAATAAATAAATAAGGCTAGCTATGCAGAAAATTCAAATTTGAGATGTGCGTTCAGTGCTTCTTTAACCAGTCTTCAATTTCCCCCAGTTGTAAGTGATGGAGCAGATATAACGAAACCAGAAGAGAAAATCTCAGATATCTCGTCGCTTTAGTATTAACTGAAAATCAAATGGAATAAAACATGATAAAACAAAGTACCCATTGACATTTTACTTGTATCTTTTAAAGACAATGTTAATGTTATACATCTCTCTTCCAGCCACCTAAATACTGATGGTGCATATTGAAACCTTCTACTAATACAGCAGAGAAAATTGGACCTGTCAGCTACACACCAACACCAATACCCCTCGCCTCAATTTATTGCCCCGCCATCCACTTAAATTAATAGCATGCAGTTATATTTATAAAGCCGTACATAGATACATAAGATGAAATGGATACCCACTAACTGTCCTCCCTACTCTTCCCCTCTCAATCGGACAATCCAGCCTTGCTCTTTAGGTGCTGCTTGAAATCCATAATGTCACCCTCCCATCGGGTCACAGTCTGATTTTCACATACCCATATCTCTTCAGCCACCTGGTTGATGAGCCTGAAATCATGGCTCACAAGAACCAATCCTCCATCCCACTCGTTGAGTGCCTCTGCCAGAGAGTCAATCGTCTCTATGTCCAGATGGTTTGTAGGCTCATCCAACAATAGCATGTGTGGTTGCCTCCATGCCAACCATGCAAATATCACCCGGCTCCTTTGGCCATCGGAGAGGTTCTTCATTGGCATCACCTGCGCTTTGCCCGTCAATCCAAACTTCCCAATTGCTGCTCTCATCCTCTCCTCCTCATTTCCAGGGTACTCTTTCATCATAAACTGCAGTGCAGACATCTCCAAATCAAGCTTCTCAGTCAAGTGCTGATGAAACTGTGCAATCCTAAGGTGGTTGTGACGTCGGACCATTCCATCAAGAGGAACCAGATCTCCTGTCATCAGCTTCAACAGTGTGCTCTTCCCAGCCCCATTAGGACCCACCAGTGCTATCCTTGAGTCTAGGTCCACCCCAAAGTCAAGGTTCTTGTAGATAAGATTCTCAGGTGTGTACCCAAAGGTAACCTCCACAAATTGGAGTACTGGTGGTGGAAGCTTCCCCACATCTGTAAAACGGAAAACCAAGACCTTGTCCCTCACCACCTTCTCTGTTAGACCACCCCTCTCCATCTTTGCCAGTGTCTTCTCCTTGCTCTGTGCCTGGCGTGCCAGTTTTGCAGAACCATGTCCAAACCGGGCAATGTACTCTTTCATTGATGCAATCTGTTCCTGCTCCCACTTGTATTGTTTCATCTGGTTCTCTTCAAGTTCTGCACGAGTTTGAACATACTGATCGTAGTTACCAGTGTAGAGCTTCAGCTTCTTGTTCTGCATGTGGATAATGTTTGTGCAGACACCATTCAAGAAATCCTGAGAGTGTGACACCACAACTAGGATGCGGTCAAATTTCTTCAGTGTCTCCTCCAACCAGACACAGGCTTCTAGATCTGTATACAAAGCAAACGAGATGGTGACCATCATATTGTTATGGAACTGAGCATAACTCAAACATCAGTCAGCAAAGATGAAAAATTGAAAACAAGCATATTGATTACACATCCCAATGATAAAATGAGCACAAGCCTGTAAGATGTTAAAGAATACCTTGTTTGTAATAATATAAAGTTAATGCATGGTTATTTCTATCTTCCAGAATATTATTGTTAGGCCATTGATCTCTTTTATCAAAAATAGGATTATTCCAAATCATTACCCTCCCCTCCCCCAAAACATAAAATAAAATAAACCAACTAAGTAGTAGATGCCAACTAGATCGAGCAACAAAGGCCGACAAAGAAATGTGAATGGGTTATAATTTTACCCTCTTGATTGCAGTAACAGAAACTAAGGCCCTGCTTGATTCAATGTAAAGGGGCAGAAAACAATTAGAAATATCTAGCTATATTTCTGCAACTCCAACAGTGAAAATGAAATCACCGTTTTCCACTTCTTTAAATCAAAACAAGCACAGCCTAAAAATTACCACATATACTGCCACACTACCTAAGCATGCCACAAAACAGCCAAAAAATTTGAACACATTGTGCAGGTTACTCTTCAGATTATCAGAACCAATTAAGTTTCTCTTTACCCATAGTGAAAAATCTTGTCAATTAGGTTGCTAATTTCCTCACAGTAACTATTGAAAATTATAAAGAATTGAATACTAAACACTGAAACCCCAGGATGTTGATCATGCCAAGCAACATGTACTCCCCATAACCTATATATAAAACTTCAATCATAACTTACCAAGATGGTTTGTTGGTTCATCAAGTAAAAGGATTGTTGGGTTCATGAACAAGGCCCTTGCTAATGCAATCCTCATTCTCCAACCACCAGAGAAATCCCGAGTTTTCTTTGCTTGCATCTTTTTGTTGAAACCAAGACCGTATAAGATCTCTGCAGCACGCTTCTCAGCAGTTGATGCATCCAATGCTTCCAAACGCTCATAAATGCGTTCCAGGGTATCTCCACCACCACCATCCTGAAATAGCACAAGTGGAAAGAAACATTTAGTAAAATCTCAAGCTTTTAAATCGGGGATACTAAAACCACCAAGTTCTCAAAAGACACCTCTGCTGCCAGGGCTTCAGCTTCTTTCTCCAATCTCAGCCTCTCCTCATCACAGCTTATAACCGCCCCAAGCGCAGACATGTCAGAAGCTTCAATCTCCCTGGTGAGGTGATAGATATCCATGTGCTCTGGAATAGGAAGTTCTCTGCACCCTATTGCTGTAAGGAGGGTAGACTTCCCACAGCCATTCAATCCGAGTAAGCCATAGCGCCTGCAAGCAATAAAAAGGTAACAAGTATCAAAAAGAAGTTCTGCATGAAAAGGAATTATATGAATGTGGATGGTAATTAAGTCGTAGAGTTATCTAGACCTTCCATAGTTGAGCTCCAGTTCAGAATCCACTATCAGATCATGACCATGGAAAGTAACCGATAAAGACTCTATCTGCAAATGAACATAAACCAGTAGGCATCAGTTCCCGACCCACTTCAGAACACAAAATCCCATAATATCCTAAGAGATCCAAACGGAATTAAAAAAAGAATCAAGTTGAACAACTAAGAAAGATCTAAGGAGAGCAATAACCATTTCTAACAATCCAGGTGACGATCATCTTCCGGTATCAACGTTGCACTTAAATATACAAAAACGAAGTGGCATTGATCAAACGTACATGGATATCTCTAGAAAGAGGATGAGAACACAGAACGCCGGTGCACGTCCGATCCGATATCCGGAGAGAACCAACCCCGTTGGCTAACTTATCAACGCTGCCTCCATTCTGCACTCCGATCGCGGTTCCGGCAGACTTAGAGGAAGCAGCTGCCGCGGCAGCAGCCTTCCCTCCTCTCTTGGCAGCCGCAGCAGCCTTCTTAGCCGCGGCCTTCTTCTTACTGGCGTCAGAAACCATATTTCTGCTTGAAACAAACGCAAAACCGATCCTTCAAAAAGCCCCAAATAAACAGCACACACAAGATCGAATTTTTCACAAAGAAGAGAACACCCAGAAGGAAAATCTAAACGAAATCAAAACAAGAAAAAAAAGCAAGGAAAATCGGATCTTTCATATACACACCTTCGGCGGAATCGGAGACTTGGATATGCGAAGAGTGAAGCAAGGACCGTTCTAGGGTTTTGCAGCAGCTCTTCAGAGTGTCTCTTTCTCCTTTTGTAGTGTTCTTTTCTAACTGTGAAGGTCTCTGCTGCTGAGAGAGAGAGAGAGAGAGAGAGAGAGAGGAAGCGAAAGGAGACCCGATAACGAGGGCGGTTGGACCGTTCGAGGGCTGTGGCAGTGGCAGTGGCAGTGGCAGTGGGAGGAAGCTCCCCTTCACTATTTATAAGAGAGGGATTCTAGGGGTCCACGTGTCGGAAAGTGAGATGGGGCGGCTAATGTCATGCTGAGATATATAATATCGTATCGTATAGCAAGAAATTGGCAGTGAAGCAATATAATATCGTTGGAAGAGAGTGACACGAGGTAATGTTTTATTCTGATCGGACGGCTTGAAACACAGCTATCCAGTTGATTTGGAGAGCTGGGATTTGGTCGGCTGAACCATTGGGTCCCACTCTTTCTATTGAAGTGGGGCCACGTATGCGAAAAGATTATATATGAATTTTCAAAGAAAAGGTCATGTTATTCACTTTGTCATTTGTGTACGGGGGATGTAGATGGGAAAATGGCGGTGTTGAGTGATGTTTTCGAACCGTGGTTGATCCGACCGGTCGGACCGTTCAACTCAAGTGTATTCAAACCTGGATTTATTAAAAGGCAAAAAAGGATAAACTATATAAAAAGCTCACATCCAATAATTCCTAAATTCCAACCACTTAACTAGTAAACCTAGCTATATTCTTCCCCGAACCTAGAATTTCTGTAGATTTTACAAAAAAAAAATTATATTTTTAAAATATTTAAAAGAACTGAAATTTTAGTTATTTTGAGCCAAAATGAAAATGCAACCATTAGAGGTCTATTACTTGAGATAGTGCAATTTACTTCAGTGTAACCTATGCCAATTGTGATTTTACCCCATCATCTATCTAATGAGGATAGCATACCAAATAGGGATAGTTCAGCCACAAAAACAACCAAAAAGGTATGAACATTAACGGCACTTCATATTGACCATCACTTATAATGCACAATAAATACATTATCAAACCAAACGCCTCCTTACAATTTTTCTCTCACAATAAAAAAGGGGGCAAATTAACAAATAAGAGTATCAGTCCAAAATTTCAAAGGCATATTCACATTTATAAATATATGTATATAGGTGTGCGTGCATCCATACTTGATTTATAGTTCTCACATTTTATTAACTATGAAGTCTAATGATTTTTATTAATACACAGCTTGAGAAGTGTCAATCCAACTCTTTTAACTTGAAAATGTAGGGGATAATGACTATGAACATTCTCAAGTCCCAACAAATAGGGGAGGGAATGAAATAGAAAGTGGCCCATTATCTGCCACTTTGAAGGAACATTAGAACAACTCCAAAGATCTATATGCCAATTACCAACTTAGCTTTCATTACAACACTAGCTAGTAAATACATGCAACACATGGGTTAATATAGAATTTCAGTTAGGTTTGAGTTTGGGAATTTAGATTTTGACAACAGCTTGGATCCAAGCTAGGTTCTATATTTAAGGAGGTAACTACCATCTGAATATCAAAATAAATAAATAAGAGTGGTTATTTCCACTCTCAAATAGAAGCATTTTTTTAAGGTTAGGTTCTATATTTGAGGATTATAAGCAAAAATTATTATACTATCCTGTAATCGTATACTATAGTAAAATTAATCATTCAATTTATGATGGTCAATCCATCATGTCTATCATATCAAACATTAAAAGCCTTTTTTATTAGAATTTACACCAAGAGAGTATATTGGTGAAGGGTAGGACCGTAAATGTCTTGGTTGTTATGGTCAATAAGCAAGATTGTATGTGCTCTCCAACTCTAATGTTAGAACTTAGAAGAATGCTTTTCAAGTCAATCTCCACCAGCCTCTCATAGTTAATCTGTATTTGTTAGATCTATTACCATAATACTTTCTAGGAGAAGAATTCAATAAGAAATTGCCAATAAAGTAAAAACTTGGGAAAACTTTTCCTGGATACTGGTTTATTAGAAAGAACAAAAGCTAATAAAGCTTATATTCGATTTGTGAGTGCCCAAGATTGTCACATATTAGCAAATTTCATTTCATGAGCAGCACTCATAACTATTGTCTTCATTGCAACAGTCAAAGTTTATAGCTTTTCGAAACAAAAAAAAAAAATCAAAGACAAAAAACTGCTTGGACAACCTTACTTTTTTTGGGGTAATAACTTTCCCCTTGACCCCTTTTTCCTCAAAGTTCTGGTTGCAGGATTAGATTCCACGTCAACACTGGATCAAACCAGCTAACGCACCAACAAGCCAGCCCTCGGTTGATTTGACAATCTTACTTTAATATATAAATACAAGATTTAAGATTTCCTAGGGCGAGAAGATGTTAAAACATAAACTATTGGAGAGAGAGAGAGAGAGAGAATGATCTTGTTGGCAAGAGTAATAATGAATTTTATTGGGCTCGGTTTGGAAAGAGTACAAATGCAAATTTGCACAGTATAAATACATAGAAAATAAAATAAAACAAAATGCAAATATTTGCACCATACATATTTGTATTTGTACTCTTTCCAAGCTGAGCCTTAGAAACAATTAAGACCTAAAAAGGTTTTTATTTTAGGCTGTGTTTGGTTTGAAGGAAAAATTAGAGAAATGAAAGAAAAGATAGGGAAAACTTTACAAATCTTCTATGGATTCGCTACCTTTCCCTTCCTTTTCCTTCAAACCAAGCATAGCCTTAGTGGATGGATTTTCTTAAAGACAATTAAAAGTGGAGAGGGTTCTTTATTTTGCCTTCGTATGTTTTTGATGATTTAATATTTAAAAAAAAAAATTAACCACGTGTAAGATTCATGTTGGTTTCCCACTCATATCCATGTGTTTTCAAAATTATTCCATTAAATCCTAAACTTTTACGAATTAATCCTAGCTCATCTCTAAAAATTGCCTCTCCAAAACTTTTCACATTATCCAATAGTTTGAGTTTTTATTATCATTAAAGTAGTAACCAAACACGACCAATGCAAAAAAAGAGGTACAATTACAGTTGTAAATAATAATAATAATAATAATAATAATAAGATAAAATAATGGATAATCTTTGAAAACTGGTATGGATAAACCTGAATCTGTACTTGAGAATTATTAGTTGTAAAATTTAAAACATTAAAAATAAGGTATGAGAAATGTAAAAACTTTTAGTTTCCTTATTAAGAATAAAAACTTGGGAAAATCCCAATTAGTACCATGTACTTTGGGTCTAGTATCACTTTGGTCCCCGAACTTTAAAATGCGATAATTCAGTACCCAAACTTTCAAAGCGTGACAATGTTGTACCTACCGTTAACTAGCTGTTAATCAACTGTTAAGTGACATTTTAAAAAGACATAAATGCCCTTTGTGTGTCATCTAATTTACTTTATCAACTATCCAAGCATTGACAAAAAAAATTAATAGCCCCAAATCCTTACCTCTTCTATTTAAGAAAGTTGGAATCACCAAAATGTTCATTCAAACTTAACCCCAACTTTCTTGAATGGAAGAAGAAAGGATTTGGGACTGTTAATTTTTTATCAACGTTTAGATGGTTGATAAAGAAAATTAAATGACACTCGAAGGGCATTTGTATCTTTTTCAAATGCCACTTAATAGCAAATTAACTGCTGATTAATGACAGGCACTGGATTGTCACATTTTAAAAGTTTGAATACTGAATTGTCACATTTTAAAATTCGGAGACCAAAGTGACACTAGACATAAAGTAAAGGGTACTAATAGGGAATTTTCCCTTTTGCATGTTCACTAACATAACAAAATTGTATTTTTCTAGGCCTTGTACGAAGCCATTTGATTGAAAATTTTGCACTTGGCTGAAATTATAACAAACTTGTCTCTTTCTAGGCCTTATAGAAATCCATTTGATTGGAATATTTTGTACTTAACTGAAAATATATATTAAATATACCACGTTGAATGAAAATTTTCAATATAACATTTTTGCTCTAATCCTAACAAACTCTTTCAAGACCCCAGCTACATCATACAAAGAGGACACACACACACAAAACAAAACAAAACCCATCACCACGAAACAAGTGAAAATGGATTTAAAGAAATAAATGATGAAAGAAAACAAAACACAAAGAAAAAGCCATTCCTTCCTGCAAAAAATAAAAGCTTAAATAATACAGAGGCATTTTTGGCCTTTTAATGGGTTAAAAGTTGTTTCTCCTTAAGCCTTTTACTTAACCAAGGTTATCCATGAATGTCTCGACCAAGGTGCGCCCATTAACCATTTTCGTGGTGCCAACAATTACATCATATGCCATTCCTTCCTGCAAAACACAGAAGATATATTTAATATCAGCAAATAAGGAAGAGACATATCGAAGGTAGGATGACATAAGAATGGAAATACTGATTCAGTAGTCAGATTACTGCATTGACAGACGATTTTAATTTGCACAACAGCTCTGTTGTATTAACTAATATCTATCCAAAACTGGAAGAAGTTAAAACTCACCTGAGCAGTAAGAAAACGAAGGGCAGATATCTCTGCAAATGTTACTCCACCAATAAAGACAACAAGTACTAGAGAGCGGTGTCCATCTGTTACCCTGCATGTACCAGAAAGATCTGGAAAATCAACAGGGGGTCCAAAAACCTATAACTTCAAACTCAGATGAAATTAATTGAGCCAAGTTGACTCAAGACAAACCATCTTCATTGGGTATTTACTATATATGTTCAGTTATACACACGTAGAAAGCATCAAAAAATTAGAAGGATCTTTTCCGGTTCAAAGGTTAAAAAGAAAATCCTGCTTAATCAGAGCAAAGTTAGGTAAACATCAAAATGAGAAATTATAATAGCCTAATACTCCAATCGTTAGAAATTTCTGTAGATATGATTCTTCAAATACTCATCCAACTTGTTATAATTGCTTGCTATAAATCAGTTACTTTGATAGCTGAAACTTTCATTTGCTTAGTAACATTGAGACTAAGGTCCTTTGTTTCACTGTATATTGTCTCTTCACTGCTGGTCAGTAATGGTGCATATTTAAAATTTCAACCATGTGAGTCTTAAGAAGTGACAACTACGAATCTACATGTTTAAAGCAAATATTCAGGCATACTTGTCCAAACTAGTTGGCATCCCCGGTCGAGCATCAATTGGTGAACTCTTCACATGACCACCCTATGAAAGGAAAACAATATTGGAAATGGCATTAGGTAAAAACAAAGGGTGAAGGGGGAGGAAGAGGGAGAAGAAAGAATATGAAAAATATGTACTCACTCTCTTTGATTCCAGATGAGGTCCAGGCAGGAGCTTCAAGATTTCTTCAATTGGACGCCTGACATGTCATTTTTATATATTTCACAACAAATACAAACCATATACAAGTTCTAAAAATGAAGGACATTGTTCTTACTATATCTATGAATATGAAATTTGATTAAAAATGTTAGTCTCACCATCCGGATCGAATTGCATGCTGTACAAGGCGAATGCTAAGAGGCGCATATCCAGCAAAAACATAATCAATGTCATGCGAGCTATATAAACACAAGATTCAAATATAAGTAATATATCAATTGAACAGCAATTAATTGCTAAGAGTTAACATTTAAGACCATATATTTATTTCCATGCAACAGACATCAAAACTACTTAACATGACAATTTGAGATGCAAGAAAATGGTTGAAAACACCCAATGGTTGTCTCAATCCATTACAGGCAGTCCACCCATTAAGGAGTAGCTTTAATTTGTTTTGGATAATTAAAGAAAGACTTTATTCAAAGAGAAAGAGAGCTCCTAAACAGCAGCAACTCTCCACCTATGTTCAAAAATGATGCAAGTCATATCACAAAAATTGGAAGAAGTGAGCCCACCAAAATCTCTCAATATCAACACCCAAGAGACAAAGGTTCTCTTAATGACCACAATAACAGCCTCAAAGCCCCAACTCTTCCCGTCAAACAGATCTTTTTGTTCCTTTATTTCCATGGACACCAGCATATGGTGAAGGGCCTAGATTCCATAAAATTTTCCCTCTTCTTCTGTTATAATAACATTTCACCAGCCAAGATTCAATTAGGCTTGCCTGGTCACACGGAAGGACCCATTTACCTTTGTCACCCAAAGAGCTTGAGAAGTGCCACCAAATGAGAGAAGCTACAATGGTTGAGAATATGCTTAACCAATTACAATGATGAAATTACAAAAAACACACTGATTTTCTAACATTCTGCCTTCACAAGGTTATTGATGATTAGAATTTTGTTAAAATATGCAGTCACATGAAAAAACATACTTTGGAAGGAATATGAGGGACCAAATCCAATGCCAAGGAAAAGTACCATTTGAACCTCCCACCAAAGCTTTGCAATATGAGGTGTATCTTTAAATAATGAATCCATCAAAGTCATATGGGCATTCTATAAAAAATATAAATACAGTCCACAACAAACATCATTTTAAACATCTTCTGCATATGGGGATTCCATCTACCATTCAACAGATTCTATCTAGGAGATAAAGAAACATTAATTGAATGGTACCATCTCATCTATGATTTTGCCAAGATCATTTATCATTGTGTTTCACATTTGATTTTGTGGTCATCCAATAACAGTATTTTTTTAGAGAGAAAAAAAAAAACAAAGAAAAGGAAAAATGGGACAACAGACAGTACAATCATCATTACCCCCAAATGAGGGGCAGTAAGATGAGGACAAGGCCTCATAAAAGGAAAGCAAACAATAGTGCATGATCATTTATCATCTTTTTCCCAACAGTCTAAGAATTCTATTATCAGTATGTTATGGTCAAAGCTCTAATTGCTTTTCTAATAGAGATTTATGTAGTAGAATTGAGGGTGTCACATGGTTCACATAGTATGCATGTACAGATCATTGTTTTTGTTAGCATACTTATCAGAATTCATTGCTGGGCCAGACCTCATGTATCTGATGGACCTCATGAGTAAGATACTTGTTTGACACCCAGGCTTTCTCTATACATCACATTATATGATAAATAAATGAACAGAAAGAATCAATACCTGGTAGTCTCATCCTGAGCTACAAGCTGCAATGCACGTTTAATTGTTACCCAGTTACTTTTGGACTCCTGCAAGGCCCAGGTGATGTAGATTAATCTAAGACATCATGATGTAGGACCAGCTTAGTTCTAGTCCGTAGAGAATGTTGAATGGTCTTCTTGATCAAAGTTTTATGGCTGTAATGGCTTCTTGAAGGAATAAAAGAGAAAATAGGGAGAAAATACCTGGAATCACTCACAGGGTGCCTAGAATCACTCTAGGGCATGGGAATCACTCACCATAGCTAGCATAAGCTGAAGAAAACTCAATATATTTCATTGCCTTTGTGTAAAACGTCCATACATATTTATAGACTCTAAACTCATAATAATCCTAGGAGCCAAACTGTTAGACTCATAATAGTCTTAGGAGAAAAACTGTTAGGCTGCGTTTGGAAACGATGCAAATGGAGTGTAAATCCCGGTTCAGGGTAAATTTGCACTCTGGTTCACTTTTGCCTGTGTTTGGCAACATTACATTTATGCATTGACAAATGACAGACCAATGCATATTTACATTGATAATAAGATGTAAAAGTACATCAATAAAAAACAAGTAAATTTGCATTCAAGTGGGCTTTTGATAAAAAAAAAAAAGCATATGCTTTATTGAAATTCATGTTTGCATCCATTACAGCTAAAAGTCCATTTGGTAAGAATATAAATTTGTCAGTGCAAAACTAACCCAACTTTGCAATTTATGTGAACCGTTTTACACTCTACATATTTGCACTCACTTATTTGCATCGTTTCAAAACGCAGCCTTAGACTCAATAATCCTAGTAGGATTCAAACTAAGTTGCCATATCCAATTTCAATTCAAAGAAGACTCAATAACTCTAATCCTACTTATGCAATGACTCTGAAATTTTAAACATAAACAAACTATAACTAGACAATTTAAACCCTATCATTGAACCCCACAGAAAATTGCAAAAATGACAAAAATACCCTTGGTACTCAATTCGGTCCAAATCCCAAGTACCATCACTATGCCATATCAGGACCTGTTGTAAGGCCTTTTTCTTTCTAGAATAAGTCTTCAAGGGTGCTGATCGATTCCTATCACATCAGTAACAAATTAAACTGTCTTAGATCATAAGCTAAATAAATGTACCTGTTTCTTAAGAAATCCGGCTCTCTCCAAATTATTCAGTGTAGACATGTGCTCAAATCCATAACTGTGTAGTAATTCTCTCCTGAAACAAGAGAATAAACATACAGTAGAGGTTTTAAAAAAATTACAAAATGGAATGACTTTCTTATAGATTAAAAAATTTTAGAGCATCAAACAACAACAGCCAATGACATCAAAACATGAAGATATCAAACCTGAAGAATGGAAACATTACCTTAGATAGTCAAAGTTTTTCTTATATAACCCTGAATTTGTAGTGGAAAATAATACAAGAAGACGAAGGACATTAACAAGTGGCTCCTGCTTATTGATCATTTCTTCAATATAGTCAATGCATCTGCATACATTGGCCATGTCAAGTATATATTGATATAGGTAAACTAAAAAAAAAAAAAAAAGAGTTTGAGACCATATCACCGTGATTGAAGATCAGTATCATGCATTAGTTGACAAGAAGGAATAGAATATACAAGAAAACCCAGATTTCGTGATCACATTCAAAACTCAACAATTTACATTTCCAAATGAATTACAAAAAAAAAAAAAAAGCAAATAAGAAATCCTAATTATCAACTAACACTGGAGACCAAAAATTCAATCTAAAGGAAGATCTTCACATGGCTTTGCATTCCAGATCAGTCATTACCCAATCTAAAATAAGAGAAGTGAAATCAATACATACAGTCCTATTACCTCATTTTTTTTAGGAATAACTATTAACTTCATTGAATTTAAAAGAAAGTGTACAAGAGAAAGTGGGAGAGAGACAAGCCCTCTTATCTCTCTCCTTGAAAATAAGACAAGCCCTATTACCTCACTTTTTATCGATCAAAAATCCTTCTATTTCTTACTCTAAATCCTCCCAACCAATTGTGAATGGAAAATTACTCTAGAAATTTTTGCCTTCTTACAACCTTGCACAATATCTTCTTTGATCATCTTACGCATGAAATGTGTGATATTTATCCAGGATCCCCTACTTTTCAAATAATATACCGGAAAGAGAAGGAATCTAAGAGAATGCTTCCACCTAGGAAGGATGGAGTAAACCCAAATTACTTTAACGAAAAATACCCAGTACTGCATTCTCCCCACCATCTTGCATCTGACATCAGACACCTTAGGGAGAACTATTATGCCCCCAATCTCAACTCAACTTAAAAAAGCCTGGTCCCAACCATGTTTTCAAAACCAACCTGGAGGTTGAACCATACGTACATACACACATACATAGAATAAATAATATATAATTGCATTCTACATGTAATATATATATACATATATATACATATATATATGTTTTATTTTAGATCAAATTTATATTTTTGCTTCAGTTTTTAAGTTTTTATAATAAATAAAAAAAAATCTAGAAATTAAGATTTGAGGCCAAGAAAGGAATTTTTGACAAAAATAGTAGGGCAAGGCACTTGGGATGCATAGATCACAAAAATTTACCTAAAATCAAAAAAGAAAAGAAAATCACCTCAATTTGACAACTAAGCGCAAAGTTATGACCATTGGAAGTTTGCATATAAATTTAACTTGTAACCCATGACCCGTTGGCTGGGCCAAGCAGGTCAATGGTTAGTCATCCAGGTCGAATGGCTTTTGACCATGTCGATAGTTTTTAAGTTGCTGGCGGGTTTGAGGTTGACCCAAAACGGAATTATGGCCAGGTGACAGTTTTACCAATCTGGCCAGCCAGGTCAACAGTGGTTTGCAAACTATGGCTCCAACTATCTAATGCATGGTTTTAAAAACTGGACTGGAAATGGAACCGTTTTGGCCACCAGTTCCCAGGTCAAATGGTCTGACCATCTGGTCCAATGCCCGGTTGGACAGTTTTGGGGTCCAAAACCGGACCCGGAGCCATGACCAGTTCCCAGGTCAACCAATCCAACCATCCAGTCTGGTCCAGTTTTCAGAACCATGATATGATGTCAAATACATGGATCATGTTCTTCCATTCCACTCTGTTCAGTTCCATATTCATTGTTACATTATGAACCCTCAAATCATTTCTTACTACCTCACCCAATGTTCCTTTTGGCCTGCTCCTAGCTCTTCTAGACCCTTCAGTTGTTCTATAATTGTGTTTCTCCTGTCTCAATTCAACTCAACTAAGACTTGTCCCAGCTATATGGGATTAGCTACATGAATTTCTGCTATTCCACTATTCAGTGTCAAATCCATTGTTAAATTATGAGCCCTCAAATCATTTCTCACTACTTCAACCCATGTCCATTTTTCCCTGCCCCAAGCTCCTCTAGACCCTTTAATTTGCAATAGATCACTTTCTCACTGGTGTTGTAAATGTTCTCCAAACATAACCAAACCATCTTAGAGCCTGTTCATTTGATTTGATGTTTGACATCTGAAAGTGCAATAATTACATTAAGAGGTATATTGGTATTGGTGAACTTTTCTTTCCTCTGAACTTTGAATGCAGAGAATGTCGTTTTGAATTCTGAAAATTGTCAAATATCCATTTTAACCTCATATATGAGAATTTTTGTTTGTGCTTTGGAGGTATCATTGGAAAACAAAAAGTTGTAAGATTCCTTTTTAAGAGATAAGAAATAAGAGGAACCGAACGCCCACTTTCCTCTTAAAGTTATAAGATTCCTCTTAAGAGATAAGAGTTAAGAGGAAATGGACAAGCCCTTAGTCCACTTTCCCTCGTTTTATCAATTGCCCATTTCAACATTCAACATTCACATTTTTTCCCACACTCATATTTTGGACATGTTTCTTGACTGCACAACACTGAGTCCCACATAATATTATTGGCCTTACAACCGTTTTATAAAATTTACCTTTTACTCTAAATGGAATTATCCTTTCTATCCAAAGCCCAAAGGCAAACAACATACACAATTAGACCTCCATATTCTTTAATATGTTTAGTCAACTCATCCATTAGTACAAACAAAGAAGGACAAAATGTTAGTCTTGGTGAAATCCCATTAAACTGGAAATTTGGTTGTCTCTCCAACAGGTCCTTATACATGTCCTTAATCAAGTTTGTATGCCTATTTGGTAATTGGTACCCATCTTTTCCAAAACCCACCATATTATCATTTTAGGAACTTCATCATACGCTTTCTCCAAATCAATGGATACCATGCGAAGATCTATCTTCTCACTGAAACTTTCTATAAATCATCTCAATAGAAGGATAGCTTCCATGGCTGATCTTCCTAGTATAAAACCAAATTGGTTTTCTAATATACCAGCTTCCTGTCATAACCTTTCCTCAATAGCTCTCAAAGTTTAATAATGTTGCTTACAAGTTCAACCCCACAATAATTATTGCAACTTTGTATATCACCTTTTTGTTAAATATAAGCACTACAGTGCCTCTTTCTCTGTTCATCTAGAATTTCTGCTGTTTCCATTATCTTATTAAATGATTTAAATAGCCATAATAAGTCTACATCTCCCATATCTTTTCAGGCTTCTATTAAATACCATCAAGTCCTAATGTCTTCACCTTCTTCACAGTTAGTCAAAAATGTACTCCTCCAATCTAGGATTCCAAAAAGTCATTACTCCATCTGAGAGAACTTCCACTTGAACATCAGCCCACTCCACAATATCTAAACCCCAAAGTTATCTACTTAAATATCTAATAAACCATCCATGCCACTATAGTAGAAACGAATCTTCATATTCTTGAACCAGTGGCAATTTTGTAATTTTTTGGTGATTTAGATTTTGTTATTTTTTGAGTTTTTCAAATTTATACTCTAGCCTTTGTGGTTGGCCCCCTCTTGTATTTATACTTGTGTGCTCAAAGCTTAAGTCTTTTTCTGAATTTAACTTACACCACGATAAATCAACCAACAAGACATTTTTGGAGGCAGGGGGTAGGGGTGTCAATGGACCGGTTTTGGGTTGGATTCCGTCCAAATCAAAATCCATTTGGACGGATTGGACAGACCAATAAGACATATTGAATTTGGATGGACTGGACAGACCAATATGACATATTGATTGGACCTGGTCCGTCCATAATGAATTTATATCGGATTGAGCCAATATCTGGTCCATTGATAGAAGACAAAAAAATAGGTGTCAATGGACCAGATTTGAGTTGAAACCAATCTAAATTAACAGAAATTTGAACAGATTGGAGAGTCTCTGGACCGGTCCAAAATGGTCCAAAATATTCATTGGACTGGATTGGACCAGGTCCATTTGTAATGGACTCACATTGGACTGGACCGGATTGGACCAAATCCAGTCCAATTGACACCCCTAGCAGGGGGTGCATGGGTGAGTTAAGGGTTCCCCTTTTTTTATTGTTAACGGTTCTCCATTCACCCTTCTCCGTTTTTCTTCTTACTGTTTCTAATAGAAATTCTTTTCTAAATGTCAAATACCCCAATACTGTATCACTCATCATTGGTGTACCATTATGTAGATTATGAATTTACAATATAATATTATACAGAAAAGTCCCATCTCACCATGTAATTCCCTTTTTTGGACTATCTAAAAGTATTTCATGATAATCTAAGAAGTGCAGTGAGAAGCATATAATAATCTGATATATGATTAAAAAGTTCCCAAGGATGAAAACAAAGTACAAATTAAGCTTACACTTCATAATTATCACCCTCCACCAATGTCTGCTCTATATCAAGCTGCCCTTGAAACGATGGCTTTGATGTAAATGTAGACAAATGCTGAGCAAGATTTATGTGCCTCTGTACAACAAATCAGCAGAAAATACAAACCTAGCTTATAAAGGCTTCAGTTTGAAGAAAAAACGTGGAAGTATCAAAGCTTATACTTACAGTGATTTCTGGTAATGAGTTAAGCTTCTTGACAAAGTCCTTTAACTCAGATACAGTTTGAGTCTGCAAATGTGCATGGTACTCGAATTAAAATTCTTCTTAACACCACTAATCTATGTCAAATCAAAAGCACATTAAATATTGTTTGTAATTAAAATAACATTATTTTAAAGCTTGGTACAAATTCAAATTCTGACTTTACATAACTGATGGCCCTCCTTTGACTTGGGATGAAAGTCAGGTTGCCCAAGTTGAAGAATCTCAATCACCTCAGGCTCGGTTTCAAACTCAGCTCCATTTAAAATTTAACAAATACTCAACACTCATTGCAACCCAAGTTTCACCCTTACCTTTGACTATTTCAATAATCAAGTACAAATTACATATTCTAAATTTATATGTAATTACTAACAATTCTTTGTGAACAAATAACAACCAAAGTATCGTATTAATATAATAGAATGAGAAAGGTACCAAAAAAATTATGCATAAGGCATACATTAATCAAAACAAGTAGGCAGAGTCCATCCAAAGCTACATAAGCATGTAACTGTAAAAAACTTCATAACATAGTGCAGAGAACAGACCCACCACATCTTCTTCCAATTTCCTCTGAATCCATTTCAAAACAAAAGATCATGACCATAAATATGCCTAGTTTCATTAAGAAAATTAGAAAGCCCAAAAACCCTCACGCAAACTCCTTTCCCAATCTGATGGCATTTCCTCAGCCTCCTTCAATCCAAAGAGAAGATGGCTCAGGAAGTGGAACACCAAAGACCAAAAAGTTACCATATTCAATTTAGTAGCTTACACTTCCACTATAGGTCCACAGGAAGTCCAAATGGAATAAAACCACTAAACACCTGAGGGCCTTCGGTTTTTTATTGGTAACCATGAACTTTTATTAATTTCAGTAAAGGAATATTATATACAATATGCCTTGCATCCTGTGATATAGGCTGGAAATCTCTACCTAACCGCTTTTAGTTGTATACATTACATTAAAGTCCAGAATAGTTTTTTTCTATTTTAGCTTGGGGCAAGGTGGGTTATCCTCTCCTGTACTTTTATATCTTCCTTTTAAAACATGTTAATAAAATTTTAAGTTGGCTACCCCTCCATCTGGAATAAAGTTTCAGGTTAACTGATAAAAAGGAAATGGACTGACAGACTAGTTACATCTTGGAGAACCGTACACCCACAACCAAAGAGAGAAGAGAAGCACTCCCAAATACAAAATACAAATTAATAGGAGATTAGTAAGTGGTAAGTAGTTCTCCATTTGCATCACAAAAGGCATTTATAACACCAATTTGATCTTCTTTTCTAAAGCTTGCCACAAGTGTTAATTTTCTCAAGAGAAACCTCCTAGAAAGAAGCCCATATTTTTAAGGGAGCACAGGTCTGCTCCAAATTTATTTCATTGGAAAAGACTGGAGAAAGGAGTGAGAATGTAAAAGGCAATTCACATTGGAGTTTTTTTTTTGGGAAAGGTAAAGTAATTTTATTAAAACCAAAAAAAGAATACAACAGGGCCTTCACCAACAGGGGGCTGGTCCAGGAAAAAAAACAGAGCACAGACTGCCTGAAAATTGGATTTTGAAGGACTGATCGGATTCCAGATCTGCCTGAAAGGGAAGCTTGTAAGGCCTGAACTGCTAAGCTTGAGGGCCACAGATTTAACTGAAAAGCAACCATCACTATTCCACTTCCAGCACCACTCGTCCTCCATGTTAGTATCAATCCCTTGTCCCTGTAAGAGCTCCAGCAGATGGACAATTTCGTCCAATTCCCAGTCAAACAGTTTCCTTCTAAATTGAGAGGTCCAGGTCAGACCATTTTCAGAAACAGAGTAAGAGTCAGCCACCGAAGCATCAGCATCAGGACTAGCAGCACAGTGAAACAGTAGGGGGAATGCCTCAGCCAAGGAACCCTCCAAGACAGTAGGCAAATTTTTGATTATGCCTTTCCACAAGGAGCATCCCCAACCTGAAGGGGGATCACAGGATCTCCAATTACCCCACTCCACCCCATTTTTGCAGCCAAAAGATTTCTCCACCAAGCTGTTCTTCATAAGGCAAATCTCCAGATCCATTTACTGAGAAGTACAGCAGAGTTGAACAGTTTCAACTTCCTCAATGGAGAGGCAAACCTGGTCCCAACTAACTAGGTGAATTTTCTTCTCTTCATCCCAATCTTTCCACAGAAAATTTCTCTGCAATTGTTCCAATCTTTTTTCTGTTTTAGTTGGGATAGGAAACAAAGACATAAAGTATGTCGGCAGATTGGATAGTGTGCTTCTAATTAGTGTCACTCTGCCCCAAGCAGAAAGGTACTTGGCTTTCCAAGAAGACAACTTTTCTCCATCCTTTCAATGACTGGAACCCAAATAGAAGAGGAGGAACATTTAGCCCCGAGAAGTAAGCCCATGTATTTAGCAGGGAGTGGAAGGAAATTAATCTGGCAAGCCAACATCCTAGCACACTCCTCCAAATTGGACACTTGGCCCACCGGAATAATCAGACTTTTACTCAAATTTACTTTTAACCCAGAAACAACTTCAAACCAACTCAGAATCCCCAGAAGGAACTCCAACTCATCAGGGGAATCATCCACAAAACAAAGAGTATCATCACAAAATTGAAGGATGTTCACCCTTTCATTCCCAGGAGCAATCACAAAGCCTTCCCAATAGCCAGAAAGAGCAGCCTTCTTACTGAACAGAGAAATAATTTCCATAATACAGGTGAATAAAGGGAGAGAGAGAGAGAGGGTCTCCCTGTCTTAAACCCCTAGAACTTTCAAAGAAACCTGCAGACTGCCCATTTATCAGCACAGAGAATTCACATTGGAGTTTCTTTTATTGATGATTTCAATTGGGGTATTTCTACATAAATTCTCCAAGTTTTCTTTTCCAAAGGAAATTCTCTTATTATAATTTTTTGAGAAAAGATAACTTGTATTATAAATTTATATTTTCCCTCTTTTTCTTTTCTTGATCTTTTATGGAATCCAGTTGTCAATTTAAAAAAAAGGTGGAACTCAAATTAGAAACCCCCTTGCATTTCAAGGGGACTTCAACACTCAATTCTCTCACCTATATGTACTAAAAGCACAAGCACCCTCAAGGAGAAACAATAGCTTCCCCCCAAGAAACTCAAAGCATTAAAAATCTTGTAGTTTATTTAAGTTTCAATGAAGTTCCTTTTTTTAAGAGGTAAAAGTAATTTTGTATCAAGTATAGAGGGTGAGGACTCAAAATAAGTAACACACCCCATGTTATGGGCCCGCGCGTAGGATCTCGTCACGGGTCGGTCCACGGGGAGAAAGCCCTGCTTTCCCTTGCGCCTTCCCTTGCGTGCAGACCCTATTATGGAAAACTGAATGGGTGATTTGTCCAAGAGACCACCCGAACTCTCCTTACTCTTTTCTTAACTGGAAAACTGAATACCTTTACTTCAACTCGTAGCTCCTTAAATAGGAGCTTACAAAAGGGAATTCCTTGTTGGATTCGGCTAGGCTAGGGTAATCCAACTCAAACTCAAACTCCTAATTACCTACTCCTAATAGTACCACAACTCTTACTTAGGATAAGATAAGATAAGGATAAGAATAAGGGATGAGGAATGGTGTAGCTGGCGGCGAGTTGGCGAGCAGAGCTGATGTGGTAAGATAAGTGTGGACCCACCTTGATGAGTTGTCGTGTGGGCCCCGCCCAACTGCTGCTGTCGGGCGGTGCATGCGTCTCGCAGTGCTGCTGCCGTGAGGTGTGTGCTGCTGCTGTGCGGTGCGTGCTGCTGCCTAGTGCTGTTGCCAAGCAGTGCGTGCTACTGTGCGGCCCGCTGTGCATGCTGCTGCCTATGACTGCGCCGCAGTGCGCTGCCGGGCAGTGTGTCCATAACATCACACCCCTCTTGGACTACGAGCTTGTCCTCAAGCTCGAATTGGGTGTTGAAAACACCGTCGAAGGAATCCTGGATGGCTTTGCCCTCCTGGATCGGGTTCCCATGGAGGGGGTTCCTCTTCATCTTCCTCTTGTTTCACCAGGAGGCAGAAAAGTCTCTTGCACTTGTGCCCTGCTGAGTAGAGTTCCTCGCAATTAAAACATTTCCCCCTCGCCCTGCGTTCTGCCATCTCARCCCTGGACAAGTGCTTAATGGAGGGTGTAACGACGTTGCTCCCTACACTGGATACTGATCTGGGATTGGTGCTTGTCTCTGGCTTCCGTTCTTGGCTGGCTGTTGAGTATGGAGCCATTCCGAGTGGTTCCGGGGATGCCCATGCTGATGGAGGCCGCCCCATACTGACGGTTCCGTGGCTGAGCTGTAGTTTGCGTTCGAAGGCGCGTGCTAGGTTCATGGCTGTGACCAGGTTGGGAGGGTGTTGCATCTCCACGTCCACCCTTAGGGGTTCTGCTAGCCCCGCGGTGAACATGTCGACTTACTGATCTGTGCGAACCGAGGTTGCTCTGGCGAGAAGGGTTTGGAACTGGCGTTGGTATTCTGCCACGGTTCCAGTTTGCTTGAGGTTGATTAACTCACCCAACGGTTTGCTTGTCAACGGTGGTCCGAACCTGAGGAGACAATATGACTTGAACTGATCCCAACTAAGTCCTGGTTCTTCCTATCCACTCGGTAGAACCAGAACTGCGCTTCGTCTGCCAGATGGAACGCGGCCAGGCTGACTTTGTCCTTCTCCTCCGTGCGCTGATTACTGAAGAATTGCTCGCAGCGGTACAGCCACCCTAGTGGGTCGCCGCTTCCGCTGCATGAGGGAAACTCCAAACGGCTATACTTGGGAATAACTGCGGCTGTCGGGGCAGCGATCTGTTGTTCGCTGGATGCCTCTGCCCAGTCTGGACGGCGACTGTTTGTGTTGGCGGTTCCCTCCGAACTCCTTTCTTTGTTGGAGAGGAATGCTTCTAGTAGGCGTCGCAGCTCCCGGACATCTTCCTTGACTTCACAAACCTCCATGCTGGTTTCTGCTAGCCTATGTTCCAGTTCGTGGACCCTGGAAGACAGCGGCTCCTGTTCCCCCATGACGGAAGGCTCTGATACCAGAATGTAATGGGCCCGCGCGTAGGATCTCGTCACGGGTCGGTCCACGGGGAGAAAGCCCTGCTTTTCCTTGCGCCTTCCCTTGCGTGTAGACCCTATTGTGGAACCGAATGGGTGATTTGTCCAAGAGACCACCCGAACACTCCGAATGGGTGATTTGTCCAAGAGACCACCCGAGCTCTCCTTACTCTTTTCTTAACTAGAAAATTGAATACCTTTACTTCAACTCGTAGCTCCTTAAATAGGAGCTTACAGAAGGGAATTCCTTGTTGGATTCGGCTAGGCTAGGGTAATCCAACTCAAACTCAAACTCCTAATTACCTACTCCTAATAGTAACACAACTCTTACTTAAGATAAGATAAGATAAGGATAAGAATAAGGGATGAGGAATGGTGTAGCTGGCGGCGAATTGGCGAGCAGAGCTGATGTGGTAAGATAAGTGTGGACCTACCTTGATGAGCTGTCGTGTGGGCCCCGCCCTACTGCTGCTGCCGGGCGGTGTGCGCGTCTC